TTTGCAAGGTTACTGGATATACAAGCAATATACAAAAGTCAATTGTATTTCTATATGTGAGCAAAAAACAATTAGACACTGAACTTTTTTAAAGTTAATAATACCATTTATCAGAATATTAAATGCTTCAATACCTGAAATAATTCTAGTGAAAATATTCAAGACTCAAGATTCTACAAAATATTAGAGAAATTAAAGAAAGCCTAAGTGAATACCATATTCTTGGATTGGAACAACCAATATTAGTATGAGTCAATTTTCCCCAAATTGAACTCTAGAGTTAGTGCAATTCTAATTAGAAGTCCAGAAAGTTTCTTTTGTGGAAACGGAAATGCCAATTTTATGATTTATTTGGGAATTCAAAGGGCAATATCTGAAAAAGTCCCAAAGAATATAGAGAGCATACACACCAGATATCAAGCCTTCTTATAAAAATAGAAGCATTAAGAGGAAAATATTGGTGCAAGATGAGAAAAATTCCACCAATGGAACAGAATAAATGTCTCAGAAACAGAACTACACATACACAGTCACCTGATTTATAAAAAGATGCCACTGAAGTGCATGGAAAATGCATAGTATTTCCAATAATTGGTACTGGGTCAATTAGGTTTTCTATTTTTACACAGCTACCTCAGTAACTCACTTATGATCGCAGATATCTGCTACTGTGGTTCGTTCATTCTGCTGAGCTAAACACTTCATATCACACTTGGGCATCTGACCATAACTCAAACATGTCCAAACCTCAGCTCATCCCCACTCCCCTTCCCTAAGTTATTTCTGTGTTCTTTGTCTCTGTGAATGGTTCAAAGTAGCATATCAAACTAAAAATTGTGGAAAAATATGTTTTTGACCTTCAACAGTTTTTTTCCCTCCAGAACAATTATGCTCTATTTGTAAAATAGGTCAGGATTTGTGAACTATGTAAAAAATTTTAGTTTAAGCAATAATTCAGGCTGAGATAGTTCCCAGGGACTCCACTGACATGGCTTCTCGGTAGCCTAAGGAAATCTTCCTCACTTTAGAGAATCAGCTGTAATGCAGCACTGCCCTATTCCCTTGATTCAGAGATGCATTTCTTCACATCCTAAGGATTCTGAAGTTAGGATGAAACAGGTGAACCAAACTTAAAACAAAATACACAACAGTTTGCCTGTTTCCCAAGAAAGGGATAAGTTGTGATACTGCTTATACCAGAGGAACTGAATTTTAAATTTTTGGTAATTCTCACTTTGTCTTCCAAAAGACTGCACCATGATAGAACATGGAAAAGAAAAGCGGTCACATACACAGAAGATAGACTATCACTGCGAAGCAATGCAATTGCCAAAACATGTAGAGACATGGAAAATAGAATGTAGACTTGCAAAACCAGTAGACGCAAGTGTGGCCAATTATGTACCAGACAGGACTATCTTCAGACCCTGAAAAAATTTCTGGTTGGCTTTCAATAGATGATACCTGCCTTTGACTTCTATATAAAATTCACTTAAGAATAGTAAAAGTGTATCTTTAATCAAATAAATGTAGCTGAAAATGACAGCTTCTTTAAAGGCCTCAAAAATCACACTACTAATCTCAAAGTGCTGTAAAAGTGAAGGTCACGAGGGCATGTAATGAAAAGCACCACGCTGCTATACATCAATATGAAAAAGTTGAAAGTTTTTCAGAGCAACCTTTACACTCCAAGTATGAAGAGGGAGAGTGTGTGAGATGTGGAAGAAAATGGTAAAGTAAATGGACAAATATATACTATTGTGAATAAGTACAAATGCTTTCAAATAAATTTATTATAGTCTTTCTTCACTCCACACCCCTCCTCTAGAAAAGCTGCTAATAGATCAACAAAGGTCTGCAAAGCTTTTCTGTAGGAAGTCCTTGAAAATCCAAGTTCCAGGGCCTGAATTTTTACAGACACATTCTTACCCCCAATAGAACGGTCTCATTTGACACCCAAACAGAAGCATTCTTGGGATGTTTGCACCAAAGCTAAGGAGGTGGAGATGTGGGGCATGCCACAAGGGCCTTGCCTAACTGTTTCTGGCACTTCACCTTTATCTCGGGACTGTCCCCAGGTCCTCAGGGTGGCTTTTGGAAAGCATGGCAGACAAGAGTTCAGGCATAAATGGGACTTGGCAAAATCCGTATGTGCCACATTTCATGCTCATGCTCTGCTTATCTGATGGGTCATGGCTAAGCCCTGAGTAGATGAGGTCTTTTCCAAACTCTTAAGTACTATATAAATGCCAGTTTTTACCAAGGTCATCATAAAAACATAATGACTTAGAATACCAGATATTAACACCAAACTCATCTTAAAATATAAACACTGTACCATACCATGAAGTAAAATTTTTTTTTAAATGCAAAGGAGCAGCCTGTGCTGCTATGACTTAACCATGAACACTGTTGGGTTGCGGATACCTCTCTACTGTATGGGTTGCTCCAGATCTTTTTAGGGCTCAGATTCTATCTCAGGGCTTTTTCTCAGGTTTTGAATAAAGTATCAAATTCAAAGCACCATCTACTCAAGGAGTCACTTTTTCGAACTTACCATGTCCAGTGATTTCTTATCAGTCAGAGGAACATGTTTCTGCAGAGTTCACAGCAATGGCTTATCTTCCAAGCATCTTTTCTGACCCTCCCTAGGCCACGCTTCCTAGCTGCCTTTAGTATCAGGAGGCCCAGCATACAACTTCTTCGGCCTCAGCTGAGGGTATGACTCAGCATCAAAAAACCTGCCTTTTTTCTTTTTCCTTTTTCAAGAAAGCCAACTATTTTGCAACACAAACATTGGTTAAATTAAGTTAACCCATCAAAAGTACAAATTTCACTTAAACACAGATTAGACAAACAAGTTTTCTCACAAGTCTGGAGAATCATTTTCAGCCAGGACACCCCAAGACGGTGCAGATGGGGAGATCAAACCTTCCCCAGAAGGAGTCCTGCAGTTCACCCTGGAGGCCGCTGGGAGAACATCAGGAGACCGCAGGAGGCCTGGGCTCCGGGCCCACTGATAAGGAAAGAGAATCTCCTGGCCAACCTGGAACCCTTCAAAAGCACAAAAGTCTCCCAATTCTCCCAGTATTTCCCCTTTCCTAAGCACACAAAAATTAAACACATTCAGTCGTCAGATACTCCCATCCTAGAAGGCAGAGCAATTACAACTCTGCTTTGACAGAGAGTCATCAAAGGTTGGGACTGTTTGGGATTTTGTTTTCCAAACGCACTGCTGGCCTCGAGGAAGTATGACACCACCATCTTAAGCACAAGGCAGCTGTTCATTTTTGGCTGGAGTTCAATATAAACCTTGCAAATGGTCTGCTAGCTCTCTCTTTTTCTAAGTCATAATTTTGAAAAATTCCATAGTCACGAAACTCCCAATCTAGTGTTTCACTATAAAGCTTTTCCTGCAGAACAGAGAAAACCATGTATTCCAAACAAATGTCTGAGTAGGTTATTTCCATCAGAGAAATACAGTGGGACAAACAGTTAGGCAGACTGGAAATCAATTTCTAGAGCAATTCCAAAGAATGAAGACCAATTCTCTTTGAAATGATGAAAATGTAGCAACAAATAATTTATTTTTCAAAAGAGGCCCTGAACAGTTAAGTCATTAAATATACTTTTATTTAGCAGTGAAAATCAGACATCAGAAAACTTCCCTCTCGTTCTGAATCTTTTGTGTATAAAGATACCACAATGGCTATATTTTACTTATCATTTAACTATTCCAGCTAAGAATTCACATACAGATCCCAGATTATGTTCAACACCATGACATGTCCCTAAAGCTTGACGAGTGACTGTCCTTCTCAATTTCCCTCATTACAGATTCAAACATGCATAAGGATCAGATGTTGGCAGTGCTCTCAAAATAAACCTTGATGGGTCGAGTTAACATTTGTTATTATTTTAGTGTGCATGTTTATGACAGACCCACACACAAATCGGTAACTTCAGGAGATACCAAAGTCATTCCTAAACCTTGGAACATTCTTGGGAAGTCAATAGACTTCCAAGACCAAAAGCAGAATCCAGATGTAGTTTATAAAACCAAAGCTGGCAGAACCCTTACAGAGTCTGTAAATGTGGGGTTCTGTCCCCCTCTGTAGTCTCTTTTTCTCTTCATATTCACCATATAATTGTGGGGCTGTCATGCCACATGCTGAGTTTCTATCTCCTGCCCACTGAGAACCATGCAGCAGTCTTCATCTACTCAGGCATCAGGACCCCATTCTCACCCACCTACTAATGTAAGTACTTAGCAAGATTCAAGGTCATTGGCTTGTCTACTGTGTGCTATAGGATTGAACTAACTGCATAATAGTTCATCCCTTAGCTCTTCTTATCCTCCAAAAGTCACTCCTGGCAAGTTTTGCTTTATTACCAGGGAGCCTCAAGAACATACTCCCTTATAGTTCTTTTGTAAAGCAGTCTGGCCTCATTTCAGGAAACAAGAACAATACAGATGTGGGGGAAAAAGTCTTTAGTTCCCTTGACCCAGATGATAAAAGTACATTCGAGACACACACACTCACTCAAAAATATATCATGTATAGGATATCTACATATATATGTGTGTGTATGTTATTATATGCACAAATACATAGCCTTCCATTCGCTTGAAATTAGTATCATTTGTTAGCATCCTACATCATTGTCACGTGTTAATTTATTTCAGCCACCCTCAGCTCTCAAAGCAGGTGCTAAACAATAGCTGGAAACATCACTAGCAAATCTTATGTTCTCTATCATGAAGGATGCTTAGTCAACACCATTCACTGGCTTGCTTAGGAAGTTAGGAAATCATTCACGTAATAGCAAAACATTTTCTTGCTGCCTGAGCCCTACCACTGAGAACACATCACTACTCAGGCTCTTGTGCTGCCCCCTGAACCCCAGATCACCTTCCACAGACATCGTCAGGGTTGTATGATGCCGGATGAAACATGGGGACCAGCCCCACCCTTTTGGGGTTCCTTGAGCCTTCATACCTGTGCTGATGCTCCTGCAAGACTTGATAAATGCTGATAAGAAAAGTTTGGTTTTTAAAACTCCCCACAACACAGTCCTTGTAGATGCGGAATTCTGCAGCCGTCACCGCCTCACCCTCAGGAATCTGGGATAAGTTGAACTTGAACTCTTTGTGGTGCCGCTGGCGCGGGGCGAGCTCCTTGTCGTACTCCACTATAGGATCAAACAAGAGAGAGTGAGAGCTATTGTTACTTGACTAAGTGCCACAGCCTCACGTCAAGAAAGCTTCCCCGCTGTGAGTCCTAAGTGGATTACTGGGTACCAGTGGCTTATTAGAGAGACCGGGGGTGGACAGAACCCTGGCTAGGCTGTCAGACAGGCTGAGATTAAAATCCTTCATTTTACCCAAGGCTTAAATAAAATTATTAGATTTTATTTAAATACTTTAAGTACTTAATGTAACGAAGTTGCATGAAAGCAAGTTAAACTCTTGGCTTCAGGCTTCCTCGTCTGCAAGAACAGAGGGGACGTGACCTCACAGGGAAGTTGTGGAAATTATAGAAGCAGTGAACAAGAATGCATCTGGCGGTCCCAGCCCCTGGGCGCTCCTCCGGCCCCTGGGTCTTCTGCAGCCCTGACCCTTCAGGTCGGTTCTCCTCTCACCAGCAAGGAGTTGGTGTGACCCAGGGAACCCCTGAGTTGACCACTAGTGGGGGCCGCGTGGTGGGAGAAGGGAGAGAGTGGTGCATTTTGCCTGGGCCTGAAGCTTGAAGGGTCTTCAGATTTTGCCTGCTGTTCAGGCTGGAGTCTGGGGCAAAGCTTCGTAGGAATTGGTACTCTAACTAAAGCCCATTGCCCTCCCTCTACTGGGAGAAGCGGAGGCCTGAAGGCCCTCTGAGCTATAGAGCAGAAGTCTCCAGTTGATCTGCATGTAGAACCCACATGTGAGAACAGAGATTTGGAAGTATGTCAGCAACCATATAACCTGCTATTTTCTAATGCATTTTTTGAAAAACTGGGAAAAAGATTGAGTCTAATAGGTTTTTTGTTGTTGTTTTTTATGAAATATCTACCCTGCAATGAAGACAAATTATGGAAAACTACAACTACTGATTATCATTTTTCAGAGTCAGATTTTAGACATTTACCTGTGTAAGAGAAGCAGTATCGACCCCAGATGCTGAGGTCATGATCATTGTACAAGAGAAAAAGGTGCGATCCACTTCCCACCATAAATCCTTGACTCTTTTCCCCAGAGTTTGGACACACTTCTGCCCTGCTGTTCCTGTTAGTTTTTCCTTATCTGCAACCACAGTGAAATTTCATGTGCAAATTAATCCTTTATGGCAGAGTTTTCCCAGGGCTTGTGGGTAGAAAAAAAAATCAAATTATTTGCCACCTTCAACAGCCCACTCTCTTATCTCATATGTGTTGTCTCCATAATCACCAGAGAAAAGCTTTGGAGATTTAATTTCTCTGAAAAAAGAAAAGAAAAAAGCCAATAACTTGTTATAAGAACCTACGACCTCAATGGCATTTGCAGAAGCCAGGCAAAGTTAAACCATCTACAGATATGAGGTTTTAAATAAAGAATTTCTGAAACGTCCACATGACTATACAGATCTTTTAAATTCAGATTATCTCTTTTTGGGTGGGAAGTTGTGGTGGAGCGTGAGGGTTAAAAAAGAATAAGCTTTGGTCTGTGTAAGAGCTTGAATATAAGTAAAAAAAGGTCCAACCAGAAAGTAAACGATGGTTCAGCTGAACAGGAGAACAGGTTTTCTAATTAGTGGTTGAGCATGAAAAGCAATATTGTTGCAGAGTTCACCCAAGGACACCCACACATGATGGGGTGTCACTTTTCCCTAAAACCGATCTGCCTTGTAAGTTTGATATGTTATCATTGGTGGTTAAAAAGTGAAAAAAAAAAAAAAAGTGAATCAAATCTGATTTCCCAAGAAGACTTTCTGAAAAATAGTCACACAGCTTTTCTACAGGGTCTTTTGGGTGCTTAAATTTTTATGTCAATAAATGAAAATATATTCTTAAGATTCTGTTTGAGAGAATGAATAAGAATTCCTCCCAGAAGTCTTTCAATTGCTCTTAATATAAACAATTGGAAAAAAATTTGAATGTGGAGCAAGACGTAAAACAGGAATTTAAGATATTTCAGAGTAGAGGAAGGGACATGAATTTCAATGAGAGAGAAATGTGGAAGGCCTCTCGAGAGGTGCACCACCCCCGATAAAAGACACCACACTTGGGTGGCCCTCTCTGGTGGGGTGGTTCTAGGTGGGCCCTGTGACCTTCTCCAGACTTATAGAATGTGCTGGGTGACTTCCAAGACTAAGTCATAAGTCTTGAACTTCCTTCCACTAAGGTTTCTTGGGATGCTTGTCTGGGGAAACACGGCTCCACGGAAGAAGCCCAAGTGCTCGGAAACCACCACGCTGTGTGGAAGCCCGGGATAACCAGGTAGAGAGGCCATATGGTGCATGGAGAGACAGGGAGAAAGAGAGGGAAGGAGGAAGGGAAGAGGGCAGTCAGTCTCCACCCACCTCAGCTCAGGCACCAGACATGTTATGGAGACACCATCTGACTGTCCAGTCCAGTGGACTGGATGACTGCGACCCCAGCCACCATCGGCCTACACTTGCAGGGAAGACCTTAAGCAAGAACCACCTAGTGGAACCTGGTCGTTCTACAAGGCTGAGAAATTATAGTATAGTATTGTTTTAAGCCACTATGACTGTGGATGCTTTGTTACGCAGTCATAAGCAACCAACACAAGAAGAGAAGGGAGGACTGACCTCACTGGGGAGGGGAGAATTTGCAGGCAATTCTAAAGGATAAGCATTTTGAAATGCTGAGAGGCAGTACGTATGATTAAGGAAGAATCCTGGCAAAAGCTCATGACAGATGTGAAGAAATAAATAATCCAAAATGAGAAAATAGAAGCAGAGTGCAAAGCCTTCCTCTTGCTACAAGACGAATTAGAACTCATTGCCTCATATGTGCATTTTCCCATTTTTCCTCTACCAAGACAACATAATCCTGAAGCACTCTGAACTTCTTTCTGCTTTTCCCTTATCCTTCCCAGAGGGGATCTATGGTCTCCTTAGCCCCATAAGTCTCTGGTTGCTACCCACCTACCCACCTCATTTGAAATTCTCTCACTCAAACCTTTTACTCTGTTGTCTTCTGAACCTCACCTTATGCCTCTTAGCTTGAAGCTGTACCACCTTCCTCACGCTCCTGATGGAAACTCAGCCACTGGTTATTGGAGTTTGCTTGGAACTCCTTTCTCCCTGTCCTTTGTCTAAAATTGAATTCATGCAGTGCATTAACTAACCTTTCATAGGAATACAAGAAATTAAGTACTACTAGGTCACTGCCTACACGTTTATTTCAAGACCACAAATAGTGAACAGTAATGTTTCCAGTGAGCATAGCATTCCCCCTTCAAGCTCGACGATTCTGGACTCCTCGAGTGTCAGGAAAAATGGGAGGTAAAGAAAGGAGAGGAGCTGAGTTCTGAATTCAGTGCTCAGTACCTATTTTGTAGCCTTAGCATTTGGCTTCTCAGTGGTGGCACCTTGTGTGTTTGTACAGTTACATAGTAGCTAAGAGTGTTGATGATGTATCTAACTGCCAAACTAGTTTTGAATTCTAGCCTCCCTTTTTCTTATGTGATGCTGAGCAAGATATAAATTAAAGCTTCAGTTATCAGTAAAATGGCAATAACACTTTTGAAGATTAAGTAAACAATTTACACAAAATAGTTGTTGGTAGAGTAGGCGGTCAATAAATGTTAGTTGTGATTATTATTGACTAATATTCAAGTACCTAGCTCCTTGGAGCTTGGAGTATGTCTTTGCTCAGAAATTCAAACGTACCCATGAGTCTTCAGCTGGGGCTAATTAATGCTTCCTCTAAGTTACCTTTTTAAGTTGGAGAGATGCATTCCGGGCAAAGGGTAGTAAATGAAATCACTGCACTGAGTATCATCAGCCTTGGTATTTGGCTAGGGAATACAAGTGCTGTGTTCTCTAAGGCAATAATTCCTAGAATTTTTTTGATTTCAAGGACCAGTGAAAACATTTTTTTAATAGCAATGGCCTTACACAAGGTCATCTACTTTCTCTGTTTGCCATTTGTAAGGATAATAAAACAAAGGAGACAACAAACAACATCTTTTTAACTCTATGGTTTCATTTCTAGAGGTCCTTTTCACACCAATAAGATAGAAAGGACACAACTGAAGAATTTTTACAATCCTTGAACTTGAGTCAGTTTAGTTTTATAAAGCTCACTCCAGTCTCTTTCTGCCGGAGACTGTTATCAGCTGAGATTTCAGCTCAGCACCACTCCTTTGACTAACACGTAGGAACCAAAACCCTAAAGAATAAAGGTTACTGGTTTAAGATGAAAAATGTAAATGATGCAATATTATACATACAAAAGGATATAGGTAATTTAGGGGGTAATGAAGCATAGTAATAAAGCACCAAGGAAACCAGCACCGAACTTAAACACTGGAACATGACCAATACTGTGGTACTCCTCCCTGTTGCCACCCCCACCTATGCCCAAATTGTATCTGGTGTCATGAATAGTGTCTAGCACTCCCGTGCCTTTTAAAAATGAACAGGTTTACTACATATGTGTGTGTGAATAAATCATAGTGTTTAGTTTTTCTTTTTTCCCTTAAAGTCTTTCCTTTCAGAGACATGATGGAAGTTTTACAGGCACCCATGGAAAGTACAAGTACAGTCACAGCCAAGAATGAAGGCAGCCCAAGCAGATGGCTGTGGCCGGTGGGGAGTGGAAGTTCTATGAGTGGGGCATGGCTGCTCTGCAGGCAGTGGGTGACTATTCACTCTTCTCCTTCTTCACTTCATCCACATAGACATCTATTAAAAACACGAGCATTTTCTTAGCAAATATTGGCAAAAATGTGGAGGAAGTAAAACCCTTGTGAATTGCTGGTAGGAATGAAAAGTGCCCTGGAAAATAGTTCGGTGATTCTCAAAAAAATATAGAATTGCCATATGATCCAGTAATTCCACTTTTAAGTAGGTAGACGTATACAAAAGAATTGAAAAACAGGAGTTAAACAGGTATTTGTACACCCATGTTCACAGCAGCATTATTCACAGAGGCCAAAAGGTGGACGCGACCCAAGTGTCCACTGATGGATGAGTGGGTAAACA